GAGGCAAACAGGCATGGGTGGAGCAGGTCAAAGCTTTAGTGCCAGTCATCACTGGTGCCAGGCCTGTGAGTAGCTACTGCACTTCTAGCCCAGGAGAGATAGGGAGACCCAGTCTCCAAAAAAAAACTGCTTTAGAAAGTCCAGCGCTTAAATGTTCCAACTCAGGGCTGCCTGTGAGGTAACTGCCAAGGTGAGGAAGTCTATTCTCAGCATCCCTCCTCACAGGCTGCAAGCACATATCTCCCACTGCCATGTGCTTCTGCAGGAGGTCTGAGCAATGCCCTCCCTGTCTGCACATATATATTATATATGTTACATGGCCTTAGTCAGTACCCTGAACTCTAGTTTCTGACCTGAGCTCAGAAAAGGCGTTAGAAAAGCAGAAGTGGTAGAAAGATACCCTCATGGAAGCAAAGGGATACTAGTATTTATACTTGGGAGATTAGAAAAGCAGCTGGCTATAATCAATCAACAAATATTTATTAAGTGCCTACTATATACCAGGCATTGTTCTAGGCACTGTAGATACCAAGGAAAAAAGTGAACCCATCCCTACCCTCAAGGAGCTTATATTCTATCTTATCCATGGATAAGTGTATCCAAAATGTAAGGACAGGGACTGCCCTGGTGATTTCATTAGTATAAGGAACTCCCAGATAAGGAAACTCCATCTACCAGTGCAGATATGCAGCTTCTCTTCAACTTTGAGTCTTAGCTGCCTGCAGAACTTAGATGTTAAGGGACTTACTCCCATGATAGCCAGTACGTGTCAGAGGTAAAACCTGAACCCAGCTCTTCCTGGTTCCAAGACTGGCTATCTATATACTATATCACATAGCCTGGCATGCTACTATATGTATGCACACACACACACACACACACACACACACACACACACACAGAGTTATGGGGGGAAGGGCATTAGCATCTGGGAGCATCAGGGCAGGCCTTATATAGACAGATTTATAAGCAAATAGGTAGTTGATAGATAGAGCATTTACATACAGGAAATGTGTTAAGTACTGCAAATATATTCTCTCTTTTTTTTTTAGGCAATTGGGGTTAAGTGACTTGCCCAGGGTCACACAGCTAGTTAGTATCAAGTGTTTGGTCTGAGGCCGGATTTGAACTCAGGTCCTCCTGACTTCAGGGCCATGCTCTATCCACTGTACCACCTAGCTGCCCCTAAGTACTGCAAATATAAAACATAAGCAAACAAGACTACCTGGCCCTTAAGGAACTTACATTCTAAGAGAATGGAAAAGAACAAGTATTTATTAGGCACCTATTGTGTACTAGGCAGTTTGCTAAGAGCTTTACAATGATTATCTCATTTCATGCTCACAACAACTCTAGGAGGTAGCTGCTATTACTATGCCCATTTTACAGTTATGGAAACTGAGGCAGCCAGTGACTTGCCTAGGGTCACAGCATTAAAAATTATCAAAAGAAAACATATAAAGAGGAGCTGGAATTGGTGTAGGGCATTTGGACTGAAGAATGTTGTGGAGACACCTGGAAAATGAAGAAGTTTGTCCAAACTGTTTATCCAAAGAACCTAGGGATTCTAAAAGATTGTTGTACTCGTCTTTTGTTCTCAAAGAGGACCCTGACATGAGGGAGATGATGACGCGACTTGCAATTGACTTTGATTTAAGTGAGGGAGGGCTGTGCAAGGTCACAAGGTAGCAAGGAAGTACAGTCCAGGCAGGAGGGACAGCCAGTACAAAGACATGGAGGCTGGAGACAGAGAAGATTGACTAGACTATAGAATTTGTGAAGGAGAGAAATGTGTAAAAGGGCTAGAAAGTGAAAGATGGGCTGGGTTGCATTATCAATAATGTTATCTATTATTATCAATATAATTTTTATTATTAGCAATAACAACAATGATCACTTCCTTATAGTGGTTATTCTCTCAAGGATCTGTGTTTCCTCTGCTCTCTTTTAACAAAATGTCCTAGATAGTGTCCTATATAGAGCACAACTCCAGTGGGCTGGCCACGTTGTTCAAATGCCCAACGTACGCTTGCCAAAAAGACTATATTCTAGAGAACTCACACAGGGCAAGTGCTCCCGTGACAATGGTCAGAAGAAGCGATACAAGGACACTCTCGAGATCTCTTTAGAGAACTTTTGAATTGATTGTGTGACATGGGCACCAGACTGCCCAGCACGGTGTGCCCTCATCAGAAAAGGTTCTGTGCTCTATGAGCAGAACTGAAGCAGCTCAAAGGAAATGGGAAATGTGCAGATACAGCGCATCCCCCCCCCCAAGGTTCCCGTGGACTCTTTATGCCCGACCTGTGGTAGAGCATTCGGACCTTGTATTGGTCCGATCAGCCACAGTCGGACACACTGTGACTTGATTTGAACAGTGATGTCATTTTGGTCCTCTTCCTGAACAAAGGGCAACAGCCAACCCAGATAGTGTGAACTGCGTGTTTAGGAATGTGGAAGCTGGAGCAGTATTATGGGGGTGGGGAGCAGCCTACTTACAGTTCTCAAAGAAAAATTATTAGTTGGTTTTCTTTGGGAAACAAACAAACCAACCAACCCAAGCAACCTCGGATTGCTGTAATTTTCCTCAGTAGAACAAAGATCACCATTCCTGCTGCAACAAGGAAGTCTAGTTAAGTCAAACAAACCCACACGCCAGCCCGTCTCTGCCTCCAAGCTCACCAAGGTTCTGCTAAGAAGCGGGGGACACAGGGAGACATTTCGCTTCTTTTACTGAGTGAGGATTACAAGCCAATGAAGTGAGAAAATTAGCCCATGTTTATCTGGTCCCTTGGAGTTGAGTGTTCGTTTCTCTAATACAAGGGTTACGTCCCGATGAACGGGTCGTGCAAAAGAAACTGGCCGTGTCACCAGATGAGTAAGACACAGATGAGTCTGCCTGGTGTTTGAAGCTCATACTATCTGGCAACAACCTGCCTTTCTCTTTATTTCTTTTTCTTTCTTTAATAGTATTTTTATTTTTAAAAAATAGTATTTTTTCCAATTATATGTAAAGACAACTTTTAGCATTCATTTTTACAAAATTCTGAATTCCAAAATTTTCTCCATCCCTCCCCTCCCCTCTTTTGAAAATGGTAAGCAATTTGATATAGGTTATATGTGTGGAATCATGTAAAACATATTTCCACATTAGTCAGAGTTGTGAAAGAAGAAACAGATCAAAGGAAAAACCACCAAAAAAAAGTGAAAATAGTACGTGTGGCTCTGCATTCAGTCCATCAGCTCTTTATCCGGATGTGGACAGCATTTTCAATCATGACTCCTTTGAAATTGTCTTGGATTCTTGCATTGCTCAGAAGGGCTAAGTCTACCACATGTACAAAAATATTTACAGCAGCTCTTTTCGTTGTGGCAAAGAATTAGAAATTGAGGGGATGCCCATCCATTGGGGAATGGCTGAACAAGTGGTATATGGATGTAACGGAATACTATTGTGCTAGAAGAAATGATGAGCAGGTGGACATCAGAAAAACCTGGAAAGACTTGTGTGGACTGATGCTGGGTGAAGTGAGCAGAACCATGAGAATGTTCTACACAGTAACAGCCATGTTGTGCAATGACTAACTTTGATAGACTTAGCTCTTCTCAGCAATGCAAGGATCTAAGACATCTCCAAAAGTCTCATGATGGAAAATCCTATCCACATTCACAGAAAGAACTATGGAGTTTGAATGTGGATCAAAGCATATACTATTTGCTCTTTTTTTCTTCTGTTTTGTTTTGTTTCCTCTTTCTTGTGGTTTCTTTTATTGGTTCTAATTCTTCCTTACAACATGACTAATGTGAAAATACATTTAATAGGAATGTATAGTGTAGCCTATATCAGACTGCACTGTCTTGGGGAGTGAGGTGAGGAGAGAGGGGGAGAAAAATTTAAAACTCACAAGCTATAGAAGTGACTGTTGAAAACTAAAAATAAATTAATAGAAAAAGAGGAAAAAAAAAGGGCTAAGTCTAACAAAGTCAGTCATCGCACACTGCTGCTGCTACCGTGTACAGTGTTCTCCTGGTTCTGCTCACCTCACTCAGCATCAGTTCATGTAAATCTTTCCAGGTTTCTCAGAAGTCTGTCCGCTCATCATTTCTTATTGCACGATAGCATGCCATTACACTCTATATCACAACTCGCTCAGCTCTTATTTCTTTTCAAAGGTGGTGTACCCAGGCTGTTTATCTGTGTCACCTCCTAGGGATTCCCCACCATCACTGCCTTGTACCAAATACGAACAGCCAAGGAAAGCGACTGGGCACGTCGGCACTGCTGGCAAACCCCCCTCCCTGTGCCCCACAGCACTCGCCTCCCGAGGACTTCTCTGGAGACAGGACGGGTAGGGCACTGCGGGGTGAGAGCTCCGAAAACGCTCAGCGCCATTTCCCCGCCCGTCCGTGCGGTGACCGTGCAAAGCGTCCTCCTGGCGTTGCTGCCTTCGCCCGCCCGGCCCCGCCCCCCCTCACTTCCTCGGACTCCCTGTTCCCTTCTCCGAGCTTCGTCTCACTCTCCCCTCCCCCCACCCCAGAACAAGCTCCTTCTTCATCTCTGCCCACTGACCCCTCCTCCTCCTCCTTCCAAGGCCATTTCACTTGGCACTGGCTCCAGAATACCTTCCCTAAGCCATGCATTTTGTGCGATTTAGAAACTTTTTTAAAAAACATGTTAAAAATTCGTCTAAATCTAATCGCGGGAGATTCTCGCGAAGGGGAACGGCATGGTCAGGCTCGGCTCTTGGGAAGAGACAGGAAGCGCCGAGAACATCCCCATTTTACAGATGGGGAAGCTGAGGCCCGCCCAGTGATCCAGGCCCCAGGGCTGGGGCTGGAGCGGCGGTTGCCATGGCGATAGACGCAGGAGGGAGGGCGGGGGAAGCCGGAGGCGGGGTAGGGAGCGTGACGTCACGGAGCGCGCCGCCATGGCCTCCTCCTCCTCCGCCGCCGGCTCCTCCGTGTCTCCCACCGGCGTCCCCCACCACCCCGCTCCCACCCGTCCCTCCCGAGGCCGTTCTGCGCCGGCGCGGACCGGGGAGGGCGCGCGGGAGGGGGCCGGTGCGGCGCATGCGCGCTGTGGGCCGCGCCGCCGCCGCCGCCTGGTGCCCCCGCCGTTGCCGCCGCCGCCGCCGCCTCCTTTCCGCCGGCGGGTGTGTGAAGGAGGAGCCGGAGCCGGGGCTGACTCCGCCATGGGGGTAAGTGAGGCCGGGCCGACCCCCCTCCTCGGGCAGCCCTCCCCCATTGTTCTCGGGGGACCCCCCCTTCACGTGACCCCCGACCCCTCCGGGCCCACGTGACCCCTGCTTCCCCGCTTCCCGTCATCCCTTGGGGCGCCCCCCCCCCGCTGCGAGCTCCATGTCTTGTTTTCTTCCCCCCCAAGCCCTATGCCCGGCAGGCTCGGGGCATCCCCCCTTCCCATTCCCATGTGCGCCGGGAGCTCCCGGGTCCGAGCCGGCCTCGGGCACTCGCGAGGTGACCTTGGGCGAGTCACTGAACCACCCGCGGCCTCAGTTTCCCCACCTGTAAATGGGGCCTGGCTCCCCCTGGCGGCCTCCAATCCCGCGGCCATTCCGGGCCCTTCTGTGACCGACCACTTCCGTGGGGGTGGAGGGGGAGGAAGAGACCTCAGTTTCCCCATCTTTGGTAAAGTGCGCAGGGGCCTTCCCTCCCCCGTGAAGACCCCAGGAGGGGGAAGGGACCTGGGTTCGAATCCTGAGCCCTGCCCTTTCCCTCCATTGTGATCTTAGGCAGAGCCCCCACCCTCCCCGGACCTTCATTTCCCCTTGGGAAAAATGAGGGATTGTCTCACTCTCCCTGCCTCGGTTTCCCTCTGGGGAGCTTCCTGGCTAGACCTCGGCCCAGGGGGCCAGGGCGCTTGTACGTAAGTGGAAACTGAGGCTTTCGAGGGGTAGGTCAGGGGTGCCAGCCTGGCCCCTTCCCCTTCTCTGAAATGGGGGTACAGCCTCCCGCTGGTCCCCACTGCCTCGGAGCAGACTCCAGGGCCTGGCCAAGCGTGGGGGACCTCAGGAGCAAAGGCGCTGTTGTATGCGGGGTCGGGGGTCTCTGAAGTGAGCCCAGGGTCCCCAGTTCTGGGCCCCCCAGCTGAGCCGGGCATTCTATGGCGAGCTCTCTCATTGGCAGGTGGCAGAGTTCATCCGGTACCTGTGCCTTTGCAGCCTCCATGCAGAGCTTGCCTTTCCTGGAGGGGGTGAGAGCCCCCCTGGGGATGGGGACGCTGCCCCTGCCTCTGCCCGAGGCCTTCGAGTCTTCACTGCCTCTGTTAGGGTTACCATAACCCCTATTTGCAGAGGAGGAAGCTGAGGTCTGAGAGGCTCTGGGACATGCCCACAGTACCCCCCATTGTGGGTATCGCTGTTTCTCGTGGCTTGGGACCCCATATCCTGACCCCCCTGAGGGCTGAGGGAGGGCCAGCGTGGAGTACTCGGTGTTTTGATCGATAACGTAGTTCTTTGCCCAAAGCAGCATTGTGTTATGTGGGGAGCATCATCCCCATTTTGTAGTTGAGCAAACTGAGGCTCAGGTAATTTACCCACAGCCCTGTAGCTAGTGTATGTCAGAGTTGGGATTTGAACTCCGATCTCACCTGACTCCAGTTCCTAGGAGGAATGCCGCTTTCTCAGAAGTCCCACTGGGCACGCCCACACCCACCAGCCTCGAGTGTCCCACCAGGTTTTGTCCCAGCCTCTTCTTCCTCTCTGGGCTTGCTAGCTGAGCCTGGGCTCCGCCCTTTTCTGGGATCATCTCTGTGCAAAGGGTCCCCAGGTGGCCCTCGAGCTGCCTCTTGGACACCTCTGGTCTCCCTAAACCCTTGCCTCCCTGCTGTGTCCTCTGCATCCCACAGGCTGCCAGATCCCCCTCGATCACCACAGCTTGGGGAAGGGGTCTGCCGGCCCCGTGTCTTCCCACTCCAGTCCACCCTCCACTCAGGCCTGCCCGTCTCAGCCGCTGCTCCAATAGAAACACCTCTCTGCGCCCTTAGAGTTCTTTCTACCCCGGCCCCGGCTCTATTTCCAGCCTCCTTATACTCTACTCCCCTCCGTAATCCGTGATCCAGCTGCACATGGCACCCAGTCTCCAGCCTCCAAGCCTTTGTCCTGGCTGTCCATGGTGTCTGAAATGCTCTCCCTCCCCACTTCCTCCTCTTGGGATCATCCCACTTTGGGCAGGAGGCCTTTGCTGCTCTTCCCCACTGCTGGTGCCTTCCCCTCTGGGATTTGCCTCCACTACTCACTGAGTGTCTTGTATGTTGCCTCCCTTGTTAGAATGGAAGCTCCCTGGGGGCAGGGACCATCTTTGCTTTGCTCTGTATCCCCAGCGCTTAAGCCATAGCTGGTGCCAGTAGGTGCTTACCAGATGCTGGTACACTGGCTAGATCCATTTGCTTTTCAGCACCAGTGTCTAGAGACTCTGTGCTTGGACGCGTAGGATGATTGTCCTCCTTGGCGCGGGTGCTGGGGTGGAGATGCCTGGAGAGGATGTTGGCTGCCCGCCCTCAGCCCCTTGGTAGATGGCACCTTCATGGAAAAGCCCGCTGAGTGGCTCTGTTCCGAGAAGGGCCTTTGGCCGTTGGTGAGGCCAGCATGGGCTGGGCGTTACTGTCAGGGAGGCGGTCTCTCCTCAAAGTGCCCCTGACGCCCTCCTGGGTAGACAGCTTGTCTTAGCGCCACAGAATCAAGCCCAGTGGAGCCTCCAGGACATCCCTTCTCCAGGCCTGGGCATGTTTCAGGGGATACTCTGCTTGTCTGGCCCAGACGGCAGAAACCTCTGGAGTTGACTTCCCCTCCCTGGGCCCGTTTATCCAGGTTGTGAAGGCTGAAAGGGGTTGCTACATGTGGGCCGTAGAGGGTGGGTTTAGACGCTGGCCAGGCTGCCCCTGGGAGTGGGCCCATAAATCTCCCTTCCAAGGTGGAGTGGCCGGGCATGCCGGATGCTTTTGCCGCCTGGAATCGTTCACGGGCCTGGAAGGCGAATAAGGCAAGTGTGCGGGAAAGTGAGTCAAATGCCAGCATTCTCCGCACCTTGCTGGGTGCGGGAGCCGCCCTTCCACTCCAGGGTCCAAGGCTGGCTTTGTCCTGTTGGCATCTTGGTCTCACTTGGGATGGATTTTATACCAGGCTAAAATAAGAGACTCTTCCCAGGGACATTAAACTCACGCCAAGGGAGAGCTTTCACCTGTGCCTTGAGCCCGTGAGCCCTATGGCTGCGGGCCTGGATGTGGCGGTCCTCCCTCCTTCACCTCTCCTTCCGTCCCCTCCTCTAGTCTCCCCTCCCTTCTCTTCTCCCTGCCCACTTCCTTGCTCTTTCTCTCCCCCCCTCCTCTTCCTCCTCCCCACCTCCCTTCTCTCCCCCCCTCGTCTTCTTCCTCCCCCCTTCCTCCTCCCCCCTTCCTCCTCCCCCCCTCCTCTTCCTCCTCCCCCTTCCTTCTCTCTCCCCTCCTTCTCTCCCCCCTCCTCTTCCTCCTCCCCCTCCTCTTCCTCCTCCCCCCCTTCCTTCTCTCCCCCCTCCTCTTCCTCCTCCCCCTCCCTTCTCTCCCCTCGTCTTCTTCCCCCTTCCTCCTCCCCCCTTCCTCCTCCCCCCTCTCTCTTCCTCCTCCCCTTCCTTCTCTCCCCTCCTTCTCTCCCCCTCCTCTTCCTCCTCCCCCTCCTCTTCCTCCTCCCCCCTTCCTTCTCTCCCCCTCCTCTTCCTCCTCCCTCCTTCCTCCTCCCCCTCCTCTTCCTCCTCCCCCTTCCTTCTCTCCCCCTCCTCTTCCTCCTCCCCCTCCTCTTCCTCCTCCCCCTTCCTTCTCTCCCCTCCTCCCCTCCTCTTCCTCCTCCCCCTCCTCTTCCTCCTCCCCCCTTCCTTCTCTCCCCCCTCCTCTTCCTCCTCCCTCCTTCCTCCTCCCCCCTCCTCTTCCTCCTCCCCTTCCTTCTCTCCCCCCTCCTCTTCCTCCTCCCCCCTCCTCTTCCTCCTCCCCCTTCCTTCTCTCCCCTCCTCTTCCTCTCCCCCCTCCCCCCTCCTCCCACTGTCAGACCTGCCCAGCGTTTTCATACCGCTCTCTAATAGAGATTGCCCCCCACCCCACCCCAGTGCTTGGATATTCAGGCATGCTCATGGTCAGACCACTTCTCCTGAAGTGAAAGCTCAGTCCAGAGTTAGCTCTGTCCCTGCTCACGCACATTGGGCAGGGATTCTGCAGGGGTCTGCCTTAAGGGAATGCAGGACTGGGGAGAAGCACAGGCTAGCTGGGACGGAGAGGATCTCAGGTGCTGTCTAGCCTTAGCACCCATCTTTTATAGAGGCCTGGAGGCGTCCAGTGACTCCTTTGGGGTTGCAAGACCTCGGCCTTGTGCCTCAGGGCCCACTGTGCTTCTCATTGCACACAGTAGGTAGTCAGGGATTTGTCACTGGGTGTCCTGGTGCCGCTCACAGGAGGAGGCCCCAGGAGTTTAGAGTGTCCATGCTATTAGATGCCAACGTAGCTAGGTGGCTCAGTGGGTAGATCTCTGGGCCTGCAGTCAGGAAGTCCTGAGTTCAAATCCAGCCTCAGACACTCACTAGCTATGTGACCTTGGGCCAGTCACTTCCCCTGTGTCTCTGCCTCAGCTTCCTCAGTTGTACAGTGGGGGTAGTCGTGGCCCCTGCCTCCTAGGGTGGTTGTGAGGATCGCATGAGAAAATGTTTATCCACGTGCCGGGCACAGAGCGGGCACCTCAGAGATGCTTCTTCCAAACACTGCAGAAGGCTGTTCTTCCTTGGTCACAGCCCTCAGGAGAGGCCACAGTTGGTATCCTGAGGACGGTAGCTAAGGTCATCGCTGCCCCCGCATGCCCAGGGATGACCTGCCCGCATCTGCCTCCTCTGAGCAGAGCAGGCAGACCGCTCCCGGCCTTGTCACAGAGGTACGAGGGAGGGGTGGGCCAGGGCCCCGCCCCCGTTCCTCATGGGCTCTCCTCTGGCAGCAGTGTGGCCTGGAGCCAGACCCGTTGGCCCAGGTTGCTTGTCAGCGCCGGACCTTCCTTGTACTTTTCCATCGGTTGAACTGTTGCAAGGCTTATCCTTCCAAGAGAGGCAAGGGGCGGGGTGGGGTGATGGGAGCAGCCCTGGATGCGGCCTGACTCCCGGCAGCAAGCTCAGCTTGCTTCACAGCTGTGTGAACCTGGACTGGCCATTTCCACTGAGCATGCCTTGGGTCCCTCCCCTGTAAAGGGGCAGAGCGTTAGTTGGCACCATCTGTCTCAGAGCTGGCGAGAAGAGCACCTTGAGGAGGGCCCTTAGAAAGATGAGGTGGTACCCTCCAGGCACTGCCATAGTTGGCAGAAGGGGGGTGAGCTTGCCCATCCCAGAAGGAGAGCCTGCCTGTACAGCATCACAATCACACTGGCCTCGATGAAGACACGAGCAGCCTTTCCCGGCAGGGGCTGACGGGTCTCGAGCGTTCCCTGTGGTGGCGGCTGCCCCTGCAGCTTGGGTGGCCTCTTGGGAGTCACTGGCCCCTGTGCCAGGGCTCCTGCTAGATTGTGGCCTGGGTGTGCCTGGTGCCTCCTGGGCTCTGCCCACAGGAGTGAGGGCAGTGACAGCTCAGGGTCAGGGAGTGACCTGACAGGTAGGTGAGGCCAGCACCCTCCAAAAAGACCCGCCCCCAGGCTCAGCTTCAGCTCTCTAAACGCTAGGGAAACCTTTCAACAGCTGGTGCATCCCTAGACTGCCAGCTTCAGGAGGGCAGGAGCGGTCTCCCCGCTGCCACAGGGCGTGGACAGTTATGATGGTGGTTATGATCTAGGGTCATGAGAAGTCAGTAGGCAGGGAGGGGCCATTTCCCTGTTTGCCCACCTGCCTCCAGATGGGATTTGAAATGGCCCACAGGTTAAGAGAATCCAGGGAATAGGAACCGAGACCTAAATGGTGGCTGAATTAGCGCTCAGAGGAGACTGAACTGTAGGTCGGCCACAGACTAGGTAGGGAGTGCCAGTGGTCATTGGCCAGCAGATGAGGTAGGCTTCTGAGAATTGGTGGAAGGCTCCATGGCTAGGATTCCCATGAGTGTGGTAAAAAGCAGAGCTGGCCTTCCTTTGGACAACCGTGCCTGTCCTTAAGAGCTGTGTGACTTGGGGTGAGCCTCAGTTTCCTCATCTGTAAAATGGGTACAGCAATACTTGCGTGAGCTGGCTGTCTCACAGAGTGCTGAGGGCAGGGATTTGTAAACTGTTAAGGGACTAGAACATCCCTTCTCATAGGGCTGGAGAGGGCCAAGAGCTTTGTCCCTCGGAGCTCGGGGGCAAAGCTGGGCTCCAGTTCCACATCCCAAATCAGGGGACCTGTCACCCCCTTCTACAAAAGGAATGCCCATTCCATGCACATGAAGACAGACACTTGGGCCCTGAAGATGTGGGGGGACCTCGTCCAAGGCCTCTGGATTACGGATGAGAATACAGGGTACAGAGAAGCGAGCGAGCTTACTGGCAGGAGGGAAATTAGGCAGCTCAGGAACACTTAAGTTCCTTCAGAAGAGCCGCGGGGTGATCGATTGCACAGTGGGTCCTCAGCTTTTGCAGGGTAACATCCCTAGAAAACTGCAGGTGTCGATACATTGAGGCTCCGGGGAACAGGTTCCTTCAACCAGCAAACGGAGCTCTCTGGACATTGCTGAGAATGCACGTTTCTTTGTTTCGTGGTGCTTTGTAACGAAACCCAGTCATGGTGAATCCTCCAGCATGGGGACCCGCTGAACCTTCGCCCTCACAAGCACTTTCTGCCTGCTTGTGCCATTATTGCCAGACTCCCGCCCATAGCAGCTGCAGGCATCCACGGGGCGTCTCTTGCACCTGTGTTTTCACCCTAAGCCTGTGCCCGACTTTGTGGCTTGGGGTTCAAGCCCAGAGGCCTCGCGCTACACGTAGGGGCATAACTGTAGCACAAAACTTGAGTTTTAAAGCCCAACAGTGAAAAATGCAGCGATGGCCCAGGCAGCTCTTCACCGCGCGAAAGCGACGCAGACCAGCGAAGGGCGTAGCAGGCGCCCCGCTCCACGTGCTGGTTCGCCTCATCACACCTTGTCGCACCTCATCGCGCCTCTCACCTTTTTCTTTGCTGAGCTCAGCTGTGAGTGTACGCAGTTGCCAGCGCAAAAGCGAAAATGAAGTTACTGACAAAATCACGCCAGTGCTTGAAGGCGAGGAAGTTCAGTGTGCGAGTGTGAGGATTGGCAGGAGCACGCTCTTGACAACCAGGGTGAAAGGGAGTTTTTCCCTCTTGTTCCGGTGAGCTTGCTCGCTTCTCTGCATCCCGTGTTCTTATCTTCAGTCTAGAGGCCTTGGACAAGGCTTACCCGTGTCCATCATCATGTGTGGGCACTCCTCATAGGAGAAGTGACAGGTCCCCTCATCTGGGATTTGGTGTCGGAGCCCAGCCTTGTCCCCCGAACTCCCTTGGACAGAGCTCTGTGAGGAGGGAGTACATCCAGGCACCCGAGGGCTCTGAGCCTGTGACCTGGCAGAGTTTGGACAGGATCCCTGAGCAGAACCTCCTTCTCTCGTTTCTGCAGAGAAAGTCAAGTAAAGCCAAGGAGAAGAAACAGAAGAGGTTAGAGGAGCGGGCTGCCATGGACGCCGTCTGTGCCAAAGTGGAGGCTGCCAACAAGGTGAGCCTGGCTCCTGCCACGCACCCCTCCTGGGCTCCAGCCTGAAGCCCTTCGGGCGGGCTCGGGCTCAGCCCCCCCGCAGGTACCGCTCTCATTCTGGAGCGCCAGGCATCATCAGCCCTCGTCGGCTACCGGCCAGGAGCATGGCCTGGCCCCCCAGGCTCTCTCGGGGTGGATTCTGTTTGTTGCCCTAGTCTTTAGCGCTTCCTGAGAGCCTGGAGCCTGGTGGGGAGGTGGGCTGGGGAGGCCAGTCATGCTATCAGTTAATTGTGGTTCTATGAGCACGAGCTGGGCCTGTGGCTCTGAGCTGGAAACCTCAGCGTGCTGGCTGGCCACCCCAAGGATTCCCAGGAAGTCCACGAGATCCCCAAGTTCCCCTGGCCCACCCAGGCAGTCATTGATAGCAGCAGCATACAGTAAGTGCCTACTGTGTGCAGAGCCCTGGGCTAAAACCTGGGGAAATGGAAGGTTGAGCAGAGACTGGGTCCCTGCCGTTCTGGGGTTTGCCGTCAGCACAGAAGACACACACACAAAATGTGAAGCTGCCTGATGAGGACATGAAGCTAGCAAACAAACTGAGGTCAGAGGTCAGAGTGTGCCAGGCCTGGGCAGCTGCCTGGGCCTGTGTCCAGACGGGCTTTTCCGCTCTGCTGGAGGGGAGGAGAATAGGAGCCGAAGCTGGAGAGGTCAGGAAGCAGTGCCAGCTGTGGTGGGGCCCCTTGTCCAACCTGCCTGACTCACGCCAGGAATGTCTCTCTCAGCCTCAGTTTCCTTATCTGTAGATGACTCAAGAGGCTTGAAGCCTCCCTTCGGCTCCTGGTCCCATCACTTGCTAGGTAGTATGGAGCCTCTGAAGGTTTTGCCCAGCGTGGCACCGGCCTGGGCACATTGGCCACCTGGGCAAAGGCTGCATTTCACAGTGCAGAGATAGGAGCCGTGTTCTCTCTGTCTCTGCTGGAGAAGGTGCCTCCAAACCACCTATGGCTGTTGCCCCCTTCCCCTCCCCCCCGCCCCTCTGTGGCCAAGTGCTCCTTGGCCTTGGCTCAGAGGGAGAGCCATGTGGTCACCTTCAGGATGAGGCCACGGACCAGGCTGCCCCTAGGGGTGGGGACACAGAGAGCATGAGAGGGTCTGTCTGTTGTGAGCTCACGAGGTCAGACTCCCTGAAGCCTCCGAGACATCCATGTAGGACAGGGGAAGAGAGATGGATGGGTCACAGGTGCTCTTAGGTGGGCAGCCTTAAAGGCCTCCCATCCCCCAGGCTCCTGGCCATGCTGAGACGGCTTTGAGGACGCTGCCCGTCTCAGCACTAATGCTTCCACTCTCTTTTTTCTCTTTAGCTCGAAGACCCCTTAGAGGCCTTTCCCGTGTTCAAGAAATATGACCGGAATGGGTGAGTCCAAGGCCTTTGCTCTCCTCTGCCTCTGAGGGGTCTTTAGGAACCTGCGTCCCTCCTCCCATGGGGCCTCAGCTGGTGTCAGGGGCCACCCACTCGCGTGTGTTAAGCACCGACTGTGGGAGGCATGGACACTTTGACGTGGAAAGAGGCTCCTGATTCTTTAGCGACTGTGGCCTGGCCTCCACTCTCCCCTTTTAGGGTGACAGAATTCCCTGCCTCGTCCTGGTCCTCACCTTGCTTGGGGAGCTTGGAGTTAAGTGCCCTCCCTTTCTTTTTCCCCCCGCAGTGTAACATTGTGGGGTGGCCTAGTCATTCGTGGCTGCTCTTGGGGATCTGGTCAGATGTGGGTCATGGGTGAGGTAGGGGCCCCACTGCTCCCCAAAGGCAGCCCCATAAGGCAAACCTGGTACGTGTACGGCTCTCGCTCTCACCTCAGCCTGTCTGAATTGTTCACCATGGCGAGGGCCTGGCTCTGTCTGTCACCTTGAGGCCTCAGATCAGACATCTCCCAGCCTCGGTCTCCCATTTAGTCCCCGGGATGTTTGGAACAAGCCCAGAATGTCTTCTCCGAGTTTCTGAGTCACAACAGCCACAGGCCCTTTGGGAGCCACTCTTACAGCAGGCCCTGAGCCTGGGCGCCCAGAGAGCCCTTGTGTCCACAACAAAGTGGGTCAGACTGGTAGAATTCCAGGCGATAGTCAGCACCCGACATGTCAGAAGAGGGTGGCAGGTGGGTCCATAGCTACCTGGGGCTTGTGATGCGTCTCACAAGAGCAGAGCGTGTTGCCCTCCACCCCTCCTCACTCCGGGTAGTTTCCGCCCATGTCCTGACAAGATCTCCCACCCCACCAGAGCATCCATCCAACATGCTGGAAACCCTGAGAAGGAGGAATTCCTGGTGCATCCCATTGAAAGGAGATTCAGGGTATCTGATGGGAAAATGGCACATGGTACAGAGAAACCTGGGACTTGTATGATCTGGTGCTGAGTGAAGTGAGCAGAACCAGAGGAAGAATTTATACAATAATAGCAACATTGCCAAGGGGGGAAGGGAAGGGACTAAATATGTATTTAGCATCTACTGTGTGCCAGGCCCTGGGCTAGGTGCTTTGCAATTACCGTCTTATTCAATCTTCACAGCAACCCTGGGAGGTAGGTGCTGTTATCTCCATTTTACAGATGAAGAAATTGAGGCAAATAGAGGTTAAGTGGCTTGCCCAGGGTCACATAGCCTATGAGTGTTGGATTTGAACTCAGGTCTTCTTGAGGCCATGCCCTGCACTCTGTGCACAGCACTAGCCCTGAAAAAGTTAAGTCAGATCGTGCAGTGACCACGTGTGATTGCCAGGGACCCCGGCTCTCCGTCTCCTGACGGAGAGGAGGAAGGGCTTCAGTGAGCAGAAAAAGATGTATCGTTTTCGGATGTAGCCATCCTCAGTCTTCCAGCTAACGTTTACTTAGCGCCACTGTGCGCCAGGCCCTGAGCTAAGGCTGGGGATACGCAGAAAGGCAGAAGAAGGGCCCTGCCCTCAAGGGGCGCAGTCTCACGGGGGAGACGACGTGCAGGCAGCCTGGCCCAAGCACGCTGTGGCCAGGGGCAGGCTTGGAGTGGCCTGAGAGGGAGGCAGTAAGATTTAGAAACCCTTCCTGCAGGAGGTGGGGTTTTAGCTGGCACTTCAAGGAAGCCAGAGAGGTCTGTGGTGGGAGCGGAGGAAGGCGAACGCTCCAGGCCTGGGGGACGGCCAGAGGCGGGGCCCCAGCCCGCCCCACAGCCTGGCCCATGGTTTGGATGGCCAGAGGACGGCCTGGATCCTAGGGGTGGAGTGGGAGAGCCAGCAGGCCGGCGTTACTGGGCAGAGAGGTGTCAGGAGACTGGAGAGGCCTGGGGGCGGGTGATGAAGAGCTTTGAATGCCAAACCAAGCAGTTTGTATCTGATCCTGGTGTCCTAGGGAGCCCCTGCATATTATTGAATAAGAACAGGGGTGATGTGACAAGGCTGAGTAGGGGATGGACTAGGGGCGAGACTCGAGGCAGACCCCCAGCAGCTGTGGGAGGCAGTGTCAGGAGAGATGCTGGGGAGGGAAGATCCATAGGCCTTGAGAGGGAGGTGTCCTGGCTGGCTCCTGGGCTGTGAGCCTGAGGGCCTGGGAGCGGGGTGGAGAGACAGATGTTAGGGAAAAAATAGTGACTTCTTTTGAGATGTGGGGATTTATTTGACTCTACATATTTGGTACAAGAATTTTGTTTTTCTTTTTGTGGGGCAGGGGTGGAAGGAGGAGAGAAATAGATTTTTGTTCATTGAAAAGCAGCTTTTGAAAACGGCGGTCTGCAATAGGTCTAGATCAAAGAGGGAGGCCACAGTCGCCCTGATGTGCTAATCAGAGGGTCTGAGTACAGCCGACCTCATGGGCTGTACTAAGCCAGGTTCTTAGAGGGGATGCCACCAGAGCTCAGCCGGCAGAGCAGCCGTGGCCTTTGGTCTTTTGTGGCACAGAAGAGCCCTCAGCTTCCTGTCCACGCTCTGGAGCCCTTCATGTGGGCACTTAGCCTCAGTTCCTCCATTGCTTCTGTGTTGGTATGACTAGAGAAAGAGCTGGCCTGGTCCTGGGGTCAGAGAGTAGGGTCAGGATTACAGAGAGGGCGGTGCTGAGCACCCCAGAGTCTCTGAGGAGCCAGAGCCCATTGGTGGAAGGCCGTGACGGGGTAGAGCACAACGAGGTGGCCTGCAGGGCTGGTGCCCTCTAGCCTTACAGGGAGGGCCTGTGCCTGAGTCCTTGGCTTCTAGGCAAGATTGGCCTGAAAGGGCCCAGACCTAGTGCACGGAGAGGACGAAAGTCGCGAAGTTGCTGGAGCTTGGCAGTGGCTGCTGGGGGGTTGCGGAGGGCGTGTTCCAGGCTCTGGCTAGGGTGATTACAGAAGATTTTTGAAAAGATGCAGACCTCCTTTAAAGGAGGTGGAAGGGGAAGAGAGGGACTTCTGAGGGGAACGGGGCGGCCAGACACCCAGAAAGTTCTTTGGGGGAGGTGGCTAGGTGTAGCGGAGAGAGGGCAGGTGTGGATTGTCGGGGAGTGGGTTTGTCGCTGGCTTCCCTCCCTCTAGCAGGGTGACCTGCCTTGTTTCCTCATCTGAAAAGTGGGAATACTGATGCTTTTACTGCTTCCCCTCAGAACCGTGAGGAGAGTTCGATACACCCCACGAGCCGTTTTATTACAGAGAAGGTCAAGGGGAGAGAGGAAATGGAAGCTGGGGTCAGGCCTCAGCCGGGGGGTGCTGACCGGGGTTGAATTGTGGTCTGAAATTGAAGGACGGCCTCTCAGGGGCTTGGAGGCCTCAGCCGGGTGAGCAGAGCAGCTCCCAGTGAGGTGGCACCTGGCTCACCCCACAGCTTGGTCCACAGGTCTCCTACCGTGTCTCTTTCCCCGCAGATTAAATGTCTCCATTGAGTGTAAGCGAGTGTCGGGCCTGGACCAGGCTACAGTGGACTGGGCCTTCGATCTCACCAAAACCAACATGCAGACCCTGTAAGTGTCCCCTGAAGGCCTAGGTGGCTGCTCCTGCTTCCCCCCCCCCCGGCTCCTCATGCCCTCATCTTCCTCCCATCTGCCAGGTATGAACAAAGTGAGTGGGGCTGGAAGGACCGAGAGAAGAGGGAGGAGATGACGGATGATCGGGCCTGGTACCTCATTGCTTGGGAAGAGAGCACCATCCCCGTGGCCTTCTCGCACTTCCGCTTCGATGTGGAGTGTGGGGACGAAGTCCTGTACTGGTACGAGCCCCAGGCGGGGAGGGTCCTGTCCTGGAGGAGAGGGCCTGGGGCTCCGCAGCTGCTGTCCCCTCCCCTCGAGCGCCGGCATTTCTGCAGTGCTTTACGGGTGTTCACTGTTTTGGTTTGCTCTCGGTACAAGTTAAGGGGCCCTCCCGGAGTCACATTATAGGGAAGTCTGAGGCAGCATTCAAACTCAGGTCTTTCTGATTTGAGGTCTGGAGCTCTACCCATTAGGTAACCTGGCCCATGGCCGAGCCCAGCAGCTGCTGTGTTGGGGTCCTTGGCTTAGATGGGAGTGTGTGTTTCCTTGTCCCCTTATATCCCCTGCTCCCTCCCATCTTTCTCTATCTCCTCTTCTCCTCCCCTTCCCTGTCCCTTCCCGCCTGTAGTGCACGGATGGGTCTGGGCCTGCCTTCTCCTTGAAAATGCCCATTGGCCTTCTTCCTCATGCCTGGGCTCACCCTGACCTCCTCTTCCTCCAGCTATGAGGTACAGTTGGAGAGCAAAGTGCGGAGGAAAGGTCTGGGGAAGTTTCTAATCCAGATCCTGCAGCTTGTGGCCAACAGGTAAGCGGTGGGGGGAGGCTGCCCTCCTACCTAGATGTTCTTTCCACAAAGAGCAGTCCCTGTGAATGTCCTTTACGGAATTAAATTCCCAGGATAATGAACCCTCTGAGTTTTTCACGTGTTGAAGTATTTTGTTTTGACACAAGCCCCCAGACAGCCCCAGCCTCCGACAAGGAGCATTCCTGTCCTCGCACTCGGGCTGAGCCAACCTGCTCGCTTTGGGCTGTGGGGCCCAGAGACATGCCCCCTTTTCTTTCCCCTCAGCACCCAGATGAAGAAGGTCATGCTGACAGTGTTCAAACACAACCATGGAGCATACCAGTTTTTCAGAGAAGCGTTGCAGTAAGTCCTGGGGCCCTGGATCTGAGGAGGGGGGCTGCTCAGGCCCAGGTTCCCCACTGCCAGCTCATGGGTTCTGCCCCTCCCGCGGAGCATGAGATGAAGAGGGAGCAGTGACTTCTCTGCCCCGTTAGGGTTTGATGCAGGCTTGGTGACCGCCTGCTGTCAGATGCTGTGGGGGCAGACGGTGCCCTGGTACCTCTCTGCTCGGGGTGCTTTTTCCTTCATACGTCCCTCCTGTCTCAGTGCCCAGGACTCCTGGCAGGGCCCCAAGGTGCTTAGCTCCCTGTGACCCAGGCCCTCGTCCCTTTCCTTGAGGCCCTTCGAGCCTTTAGGGAGGGAGTCCCACGGGCCGCTGGGCCCAGCACGTCCTGGGTGTGGCCTGCTTTCCCGCCTCAGGGGCTTGTTGTGAGGATCCCACGTGTCCACGTACTTGGAGCTTTTTGCCAGCCAGGAGGGGCTTGTGGGACTCAGCACAAGGACCCCTGCCTTACAGGTTTGAGATCGATGACACCTCTCCCAGCATGTCCGGCTGCTGTGGTGATGACTGCTCCTATGAGATCCTGAGCCGGAGGACGAAGTTCGGTGACAGCCAGCATGCCCACTCGGGTGGGCACTGTGGCGGCTGCTGCCACTGAGGCTGCACCAGGCCCCAGAGCCACCTCTTCCCCTGGCCTGGTCCCTTCCCCTGTTCCCATCACTCCACACATTCTCAGCTGCCTCTCACCTTTCAGGTCCCCCAGGGCGGTGGTCCCCTCAGCTCGAGAGGCTGCCCTGGTGCACCCCCAGAAGCACTGCCCCCCCCCCACAGCATTGGTGAGCAGCGCAGGGCAGCAGGGCTCTTTGCCAGTCCATGACACAAGATGGGCCTGTTTCCAAGCCGTGTCTTTGGAAGCATCTCTCTTCCCTTTCTCCACTTAGCCAGAACCCCAGCTCCCCCCAGCAAGACCCCGCTGCTTGTAGAAGAGCAGCTGGATGCTGCTGGGCTCCACAGAGAAAGAGAGGAGAAGGGGGGTGCCTAGGCAGCCCCAGGGGGACACGAGAGTGCCCAGAGTCTGGCCAGGAGAAAACGGCATTTGGTCTGTGGTTTCCTCAGAAAAGGCCAGAAAAGCGGGCTGGAGGAAACAAGCTCTTTTGGAAGGTGTATGTTTGCAGAAGTGCAGAGTAAAATTGACCCAAGGGTACACGGGACACTGTGGGGACTGTATGGGGGTGGTTGGTCCTGACCCTTCTCTCTCCATCAGGCCCGGTGACCAACTGGGCCCGGGCTGAGAGGCCTGGGAAGGAGCCGTCGCCCCCCCCCCCCCCGCCAGAGCTTTGGGCCACTGGTTTTAGGTCCGTGACAGTCAATGGTGCCAGCTTGTCCTCTGCTTGAACCCCTTCCCCAAAGTGCTGCTGCCCCACTCCTGGGGAAACATCAGGGAGTCCCCAGGCTTCCCCTGGAAAGAGGCCTAGTTCCTGTCTGCATATTCAATGCCATTCCCTCTGTACTTTGGTGCTGATTCTTCCCCTCCCCCACCCAGCAGCAGCAGGCCCTGCTTTTACTTTGCCTAGGGCCTCTCACTCCTCTGCCTCAGTGAGGCAATAGTGCTGCTGACCCTGTCCAGACTCTACCAGCTGTCTGTGGACCAGGGGGCAGCTCAGTCTAGCCTCTATCCATTTCTTTCAGGGATGCACTCTGACCTGCTCCCATCTAGCCAGACTTCTCAGTCTCTCTGGCAGAATCCGCTCTGTCCTTCCTAGGATGCTGCGATGGGGAGGAGAGAAGGACCCTGCTGAGGGGTTGGGAGAGGGAGCTTTTGTAGCTTCACCCAAGAGGAGTGGCTTTTCAGATGCTGAACTCCCACCCTCATCTGTCCTCCAGCCTGGGGCAAGGGTTACGAAGCCCACCTTTCCCCCGGCGTGATTCCTTTGAAGCCCCTCGGTGGGGAGCCTCTTTAAAGTTTTAACCTCTGTGAAGGTTTTTGTAGAAGGCCTATCCTTGGACCTGACCTCAGATTTTCCTCACACCTGCAATGCCCCAACTCAGGAGGCAGCTGTGCCTGCCTGTTCTTAGAATCTCCCCTGTGAGCCCCTTCTCCCCCTTCACTGCTGTGTGGGAGCACAGACACATGTGCAGTGTGTCATCCTACAGAACACCAGCCTGTGAGCTGCTGGAGACCAGGGACCCTGCGCACTAGGCTTATACTCCCCTCTGCAGCTCACACCCTGCTTTCCCTTGGAAAGGGCCAGGGTTTGTTGTTGTTGTTTTTTTTTAAAGATGTCTTTGCAGCTTTTACACTGGATTAGATCCCCACTCCTCCATCCCTGGTGTCTCTGAGAGAAGCTCCTGCCACAGGGTGGATTTTCTAGGTCATTGAAAGGGGCTGATTTGGGCTCCCTCACACTAGGAGCAAAGAAGAGTTTCCCTTCTCCTCTCCAGGGATATGAACCAAAATATTTTGGGTCTCAGATCATGGATTTCTGACTATACCCCCAGAATTCCAAAAGAATCCCCAACAAAAATTCCAAGTAACTTGAGTTCCTGGTGTGTCTCTTTTTTACTGATTTCTTGACCTCTTCCTAATAACCAGACCCCGATTACCAAACTCGTTTGTAGAGGGGTGACATTGAGGTTGCTGCCATCTTTATGCCAGTGCTCTTCGATTAGCATAGATGCTGACGGGCAGCATCGAAGGACTAGCAAGTCATTCCTTGGTTTGGTTTTCCTGTTTTGAGATCCGCTTAGCCCTTTTTCACATCAGTATCTCACCTCAACTTCCACTAAGTCTAGCCTTTGAGAAATGTAGCTCCCTGTTTGGACTGTATCGTTGTTTTGTTTGGGGCACGTTGAAGTATTTTTGTTGAAGATGTCTTCTTTTTAAGTTGTATCCATCCTTTGCCCATGCTGGGTCACTTCTCTTTCTGTGTCTGTGTGTACACGTGTGTGTGGGAGTGTGTGTGTGCCAGGGTGAGTGTGATTCTTTTTAACCCTTTCTGTTTTTTAGAGGAAAATTTGAAAACAGACCTACTCTTGATATATATTTTTTCCTTAGTAAATTCTTTTCTCACTGGAATCAAAGGGAAAAAAGCAAACCTTTTGCATTGGTTTTATTTGTATGTTACAAATAAAAGACACTTTGTTCAGTTGCTGGTATGACTCTGGCAGAATGGGATAGGAGTAGGTGAAGGTGGCATCTGTTTGAGGGTGGGATTCTGAAAGATATTGGTCAGTGTTTCACTGAGAAGCAGGTGGTGCATGAGGAAGAACTTCAGGGGCTTGGACTAATGGTCACTTAGCCCTTCTCAGCTCTGATATTCTCTGTTCTTGGGCAGAATCAAGATGGCAAAGTGAAAGGTCAGAACTGTCAAACTTCCCCCAAAACTTCGCCTACCAAATGACCACAGGAAACACCAAACAGAATTCTGAGTTTAAAAGTCATAGTGAGTCATTTTTTGAGCCCAGGGCACTTTAGGAAGTCAGGAAAAGAGGTCTGTGGACACTGGGGTAAGGGCTAGCCAGGACAGGGGAAGTAGAGGGAAGGTGCCCTGGCTCCCAGGGATAGTAAGGAGACTGAACATCAGGTCAGAAAGACATCCCAGGGAGGGGATCCCTGTACCAGCACTTGGAGCAAGTGGCCTTTAAAAAGAAAATAATGTTCCGTCATGTCCAACTTTTTGTGAACCCATTTTGGAATTTTCTTCGCAAAGATACTGGAGTGGTTTGCGATTTCCTTCTCAAGGTCATTTTACAGATGAGAAGACTGAGGAAACAGGGTTAAGTGACTTACCCAGAGTCACACAGCTAGTAAGCATCTGGGGCTGGATTTGAACTCAGGTCTTCCTTACTGCAGGTCTGGTGCTCCACCCAATTGAAAAAAGAACCTAACCTTAAATATCTGCTATGGTGACAGGAAAGCTCAAGACCAGCTCAGAAGAAAACAATCATATAAAAACATCTACAAGCAAAGACTCGGAGAAAAAGAAAGATTGCACACAAGCATAAGAACCTCTTCCCAGAAGAGCTAAGGAGAGAAATGAAGAGGTGTGGGTGTGTGTGTGTGTGTGTGTATGTATACACACAAACATGTGTATGTATACATACTTATATACACATTTTAAAAAGCAGTAGAGGAGAAATTAAGAAAAGAAATGAGCTATGCAAGAAAATTTTGAAAAGAGAATTAAGTTTGGTAAAAGAGTTCCAAAAAAAAAAAGTGCTGAAGAAAGTAACTCCTTAAAATTAGAATTGGCCAAATGGTAAAAAGAATACAAAACCTGCAGAAAATAACTCCTTAAAAATCATAATTGGCCGAGTGGAAGCTAGTGACTCCATGAGACATCAAGAAACAGTAAAAGTCAAAAGACTGAAGGAAAAAAAAAGGGAAGAAAATGTGAAGTGCGGGAACTAATAAATAATTCAATACTGTGGAGCCACAGTCTGCTGCTGCTGTTTGCCCTTCATTCTCAAAAAGGACCGTGACATCAGGGAGGCGATGCCATGACATGCGAGTGAGTTGGATTTAAGTGAGGAAGGGCCGTGCAAAGTCACCAGCCTCACTTTCTCCTCCTGAGCCATCTGGATCCAGTGGCCAGCTGTGGATCAGGACAACTGGAGATGGCCCAGGATGCAGTGGGAGACCTTGGCCTTTTCAAGCTAAGGTCTTTAACAAGTCTCAGTTTGACTAAGGCAGTGCCCACTCAGTGATTAAGACTTAATAAAAATGAGGCAAAAAATGGCCTCTTTTAAAAAAAATAGATCTAGGAGGGGAGGACACTCAAGAGTTTCTGACTGAAACAGGAACGATTGTTATTTACATTCATTCAGAGCCACTCAAGGCCCAAACAGTGACCAAGGAAGGCTTGGTCTGGGACCAGAGTGATTTGGAGTTAAGGCTGGTCTTTATTTTACAGTCAGAATAACCAGCAAAGCTGAGTATAATCCTGCATGGAAAAAAAAAAGTGGATAACTTTCAGTTATTCATCAGGAGACCAGAACTGAATGGAATATTTTACCTACAAGAATCAGGAGAAATATAATGTAAAAATGAAAGCCCAGTTATAAGGGATTTCTTAAGGTCAAACTGTTCACTTCTTATATGGAAAAATATTCACTAATTCTAAGAATGTTAAATTGCTTGGATAGTTGGAAAGAGTATAGATAGAAGGCTTGGAGTTGAGTATGGTGTGATGATCCTAAAAAATAAAGTTGGGCAGGGAGAGGTAAAATGGCACAATTATGACATATGAGTGAGGCATTGAATGGAAGAACTGTCACAGTGGAGGGTAGAAGGTTGGTAGTACTATAACTTTATCCTTATCAGAACTGGGTTAAAGAGGGAATAACGTGTAGAATGATGCAAAAGTCTTAACTTAGAAATAAGAGTGTACGGGGATAGGATAAGGGAGGGACTTAGGACGTGGATTAGGGAGGCAGTGGTCAGAAGTAAATTTGATGTCTGAGGAAGGACAGAGTAAAAAGGATAAAAATTAGGATGGAAAGAAATACACAACTAGAAATCATAACTGTGAATGGGATTAACACCTATAAAATGGAAAAGGATAGCAAAATAGATTAAAAACTAGAATCTAACAATAGGTTGTTTATAAGAAACATTTTAAAATGAGAGAGGCACAGAGTAAAAATGAAGGGCTGAAGTAGAATTTCTTATGTTTCAGCTGATGTGAAAAAAAGCAGGGGTAGCAGTCATGATCTCAGACAGAGTTAAAGCTAAAATAGACAAAAAGAAATGGAAACTACATTATGATAAAAGGTACCATAGATAATAAAGTAATATCAATACTAAACCCATGTACACCAAATGCTATAGCATCCACATTTTTTAAAGGAAAAGCTAAATTACAGGTGGAAATAGGTGGTAAAACTATAGGGATTTCGGCCTTCCCCTCTCAGAACTAAATAAATCTAACCAAAAGATAAGTCAAGGAGATGAATAGACTCTTAGGTAAGCTAGATATGATAGATAGCTGAAGAGAACTGAATGGGAGTAGAAAGGAATACACCTTTTTTTCTCAGCAGTACATGGTACCTTTACCAAAATTTACCATATATTAGGGCATAAAATCTTTATAGCTAAATGTAGAAAAGCAGACATATTCAACGTATCCTTTACAGATCATAATGCAATAAGAATTATTTTTAGTAAGGGACCATGGAAACATTAAAAATTAACTGGAGACTAAGTAATCTAGTCTTAAAGAATGAGTGGATTACAAAACAAGCCATAGAAACAATAAATAGTTTTATTAAAGAGAACGATAATGATGAGACAACATACTGAGATCTATGGCACCTGTGAAGGAAGATGCTATTTACCTGCAGAGAAAGAATTGATAAACAAAAGTATGCACAGTTTGGTGTTTTATGCACACACACACCTCCATATATGCATACATTTATATCCACATATGTGTGTATGTATATACATACATGTATGTTATATATCTATTCTGTGTCAAATGGTGGCCTTCTGTAGTGCAGGGTTGGGAAGAAGGCAGTTTGGAACTTAAAATGTAACCCCAAAAAATTTTTTAAAAAGACCAGAGCTGAAAAGAAAATTTGACATTCAAATGCAAGACTTAAGAGAAGCATAAAAAGGTAAATATGAGGGAGAAATTATGAAGGATTTCACAAGGTTAAACTGTTAACATTGCCACGTGGGAAGATACTTGGTGTTCAGTCTGAATAGTTGTTCAGTCATTTCGGGCCTGTGTGACTCTCTGTGACCCCATTTGGGGTTTTCTTGGCAAAGATACTGGAATTGTTTGTCATTTCCTTCTCCAGATCATTTTACAGATGAAAAACTGAAGCAAACAAGGTTAAGTGACTTGTCAAAGGTCACACCTAACAAATGTCTGAGGCCAGATTTGAACTCGGGAAGATGATGGCCTAGCACTCTATCCACTGAGCCACTCAGCTGCCCTAGGGAAGATGATATAGTACCCCTAAGAACATTATCATAAGTGAAGTTAGAAAGAGTGTACTTCGTGTGCACGGGTGTGAGTCTATTATGTTGGGATCTCAGAAGAATGGGCGAGTGAGAAAGAAGGATGCACTGGGAACAGGGAAAGGAGAAAGAGGCACACAAAGAAAAGTTTATGCAATGGAGAGGGAAAAGGTGTGTGTGGGGAAGTGGGCAGTGCTTGCACCTTGTCTGAACTGGTCCAAGGAGGGAAGAATACAGAGAGAGAGAGAGAATAGAAATTCATCTTACCCAACAGTGAAGTAGAAGGGAAGGGGCTAAAGAAAGGAGGCAGGGTGATAAGAGGTAGAGTAGATGAAGGGAGGCACTGGTCAAAAGCGAAACAATTTTGAGGAAGGTACAAGAAGGTCGAATAGAGGAAAACAGGATAGAGGGAAATACAGAGTTGGCAATCATAGCTTCGAATAGAATGAACTCACCCATAAAACAGAAGAAGATAGCAGAACGGATCAGAAACCAGAATCCAACAATATGTTGTTTACAAGAGACAGTCTTGAAACAGAAAGACACACAACAGAAAGTTAAAATAAGGGGCTAAAGCAAAATCTGTTCTGCTTCAGCTTAAGTGAGAAAGGCAGGAGTGGCAATTGTGTTCTCAGACAAAACAAAAGCAAAAAAATAGACCTAATTGAAAGATTTAGGAAAACTAGATCTTGGTAAAAGGCGCCATAGACAATACCGGTACTGAACATAGATGCACTAAATAGCACAGCATCCAGGTTTTTGAAGGAAAAGTTACGTTAGTTAACAGGAGAAAATAGTATAACTATACTCATGGGGAACTTCAATTTGCCCCTCTAAGACCTAGATAAATCTAACCATTTTTTAATAAACAAAAAAGTTAAGGAGATGAATAGAATTTTAGAAAAATCAGATATATGGAGAATATCAAATGAGAATAGGAAGGAGAATACCTATTTATCAGCTGCACATGGCACCATCACAAAAATTGACCATGGGCATGAAAACCTCACATACAAATGCAGAAAAGCAGAAATATTAAACACACTGTTTTTGGACCATAATGCAATACAAATACATTAATAGAGGGCCTTTGAAGCACAGATTAAAAATAAATTAGAAACTAGGTCATCCTAAAAAATGAGTGGGAAAAAAAAAAGAGTGGGTCAAAGAACGCGTCAT